GGCTCTAATAAGTTGACAAGGAGAATTTCCAGCAGAGCTGCTGTGCTGGTTGATATGTAATCCCCAGGCCTATGTGCAGGGAAGGAAGAAAAGCCAGTGATTTGAAAGGTCACAGCCACCAGTGGTATCTGGTGCCTATTTGCCCAAACTCTTGTTCTCCATAGAGACTGTAGGCTGTGTGGGTTTGCTAGAAACTGATCACCTTGGGCCACACGAGGAGTAGAGAGAGCCGGAATGCTGGAGGTGAAGATCCAGCCCCACAGTTCGGACCCTGCCTTGTATTCTCTGTGCCTTTGTGGTTAGTTTTTAACCACCTGAATCACATGGGCGGCAGGTGCATGGTGAAGAGTGTGGCGCTTGGAACCACAGTGCCTGGGTCTGAATCCCATCTCTCCTGCTTTGACCTGGGGCAGGTAACTAATGGCCTGCCGCCTTGGAATCTGGTCTGCAAAATGGGGATAGGAAGGATAGCCCCTGCAAAGCCCCGATGGGAAGATTAAATTAAATGATAAATGCCAAGTATTCACCCCAGAGCCTGGCTCTTTACAAGTCCTGGCCTCATGGGCTCTGGGCTATTTTAAGGATAAAATAAAATAATGAGGTGAAAGCACTTTGCAGAAAATCACAGGTGCTGCGCTCCACCCTGTGCACCAGAGGACCCCATCACCAACTGCACAGGGTCTCCTGAAGGATTTTCACACCTGTGACCATATATTACTTGTCTTCTCTGCTCATGATGACAATCTACTACCTTGTCTCTTTGGCAAACTCCTACTCATCCTTCAATGACCATAAATGTCGCCTCTTCCATGCAGCCTCCCTTGACTTTCCCAGATACTGCTAGTTGTTTGATCCTCTGTTTCCACAGAACTTGGTGTAGACATTCAGATTCACATGTGTTGCATTGTCCTGTGATGAGCTGGTTTGGTGTCAGCTTCTTCACCCCTAAGCTCTGAGCTCAGGAGACTCAGCTCCTTGAGGTCTTACCAATCAGTCCTCCTCACCTCTGGAGCCAGCACAGGGACTGACATATGGGTGGTCTGAAATCCTTCCATGCTGTCTTGAACTGAAGCTTTGGTGATTCACAGGAGATAAGAAGTCATCTGGGAAATTTGAAAAGGATTATCTGATCTTTTGCAGACCTTGATACAGAAATATAACTGGGCTATGAATAGAGATTTAAATTACTTGCTTTCTTCAATTTTTTAAAAAACCTTTTAATAATGGAAGAAGAGTCACCAATGGGTTGTGTGGATATATGCAATTTTTTTCTTCCAAGAATTGTTTTCTGCCTCATTAGTAGAAACTCTTCCGCACATTGCAAGAAGAATCTTTTCCTCTCCTTCGCTAGGAAGGACAGTCAAGAAATGGCTTGTGCTTTATTTTTTCATAGGCGTGGAGTAGATAATTGCTTAAAGCTGAATTTGGGGCTGCTAATAATCCAATTAGGGTCTTGGGCATAATTGTTTCTGTGTAACCTGATGCCTTCTGTTCTCCATGGTTCTGACTTTTGAAGCTGGTTCTCTTGGCAACAGCCTATCTTTCTGGGGGAGGAAGAAGTACAGCCCTTTGGGGGTATTCTTTGCTCAGCAGATAAGAGGTAACACCTGAGAAAATAGAGCAGCAATGGTGGGCATTATTAGAATAATGATTGAGACTTTATGAATATGCAGATACATCAGTGTCTGAAAGAGAATGAAATCTCTCTGAACCTTGACATGAGTCCAGTGTTCCTTTCCTCCCACTACTTACCTCACAGTCAGAAGACCGGGAAGCAAATCATCTCTTTTCTGCCTTGTACTCTGACCAAATGACCTGTCCAGGGAGGAGGGTGGGCCATCTGAGTTTTCTTGCTGCTGTGTTGAATTTGTAATCTCCCTTTTCCAGTCCACTCCAGAGAATCAAAGAAGCAGCTCTGCTATGGAAAAGCCCAGAACTGGGTGACAGGACATGTGGATTCTGGTCCTGGTGGTGACAGGCCACTCTTCACCTCACAGAATCTCAGTGTCCTTGGCTGGGTTGGGAGGGAGATGGGTTAGACTCAAAGGTCATGAACCATCGGCCCAAGGGACAAATCTAGCCCTCACAAATGTCTGTTTGGCCTATATGGTCCCTAAAATACTTTAATTATCAGCATTTAAAACTCAGAATAGCTTTTATACATACACCCCAGTGTTCATTGCAGCACTATTTACAATAGCCAGGACACGGAAGCAACCTAAATGTCCATCGACAGAGGAATGGATAAAGGTGTTGTGGTACGTATATATGATGGAATATTACTCAGCCATAAAAAGGAATGAAATAATGCCATTTGCAGCAACATGGATGGGCCTAGAGATTGTCATACTGAGTGAGTAAGTCAGATAGAGAAGGACAAATATTGTATGATATTGCTTAGATGCGGAAGCTAAAAAAATGGCACAAATGAACTTACTTACAAAACAGAAATAGAGTTACAGATGTAGAAAACAATCTTATGGTTAACGGTGGGGGAGGGATAAACTGGAAGATTGGGATTGACATATACACACTACTATCTATAAAATAGGTAACTGATAAGGACCTACTGTATAGCACAGGGAACCCTACTCAATACTCTAATGGCCTATATGGGAAAAGAGTCTAAAAAAGAGTGGATACATGTATATGTATAACTGATTCACTTTGCTGCACCTAAAACTAACACAACCTTGTTAATCATCTATACTTCAATAAAAATGTAAAAAAAAAAAAGAAATTTCTGCCTTCCATTGATAATGGGAGAAATCTAGAATTCCTGAGCCCCTATTTCCGTGCAAAGCTGGAATTCAGCAGTTCTCTCAGTGAGCATCCTTAGTTCACCACAATCCCCACCACTCCCTATTGTCTAACACTAAGTTTGTTTCACTCATTTTATTATCTGCCCAGCACCTATAGGCATTTGCGTTTGTGACCCCTGGACCAGAGAATCTTGAACTTCCAATTTAAATTTGTCAGTATCTGGCTAAGGCACATGGGACAATACTATGTTGCCTTTTTTCAGTATCAGTCCTCATTTTATGGATGCAGAAACTGAGCTTCAGCACGGTTGATGAGCGTGTCCTTGGTCACGAGGGCTGTAAGTGGTGGAGTCAGCAGTAGGACTGCGGGGTTCCAGACTGCTAATGCTGCAGCTGTCTCTAGGATTTACATTTTTCTACTTCATACCCAGGACCTTGTCGGTCCTGCGTGTACTTATGCCAAGGCAATCAGATGATCTGTATGTTCGGAACTATAATCAAATAACCTTGAGAAACGACTTGAAATGAGCCTGAGTTATCACTTAGCAGAGCATTCTAGAGATGAAACTGCTGATTCAGATCGATTTTGACTCTGAGAAGGACCTCCACCACTTTGGATATTTTGAAAAAAAATGGTCATTCCTTAAATTCTCAGCACTTGGCAGTTTTTGTAGTGCTTTCACTACTGATTTAAAATCAGTATAAAGAAGTAGGACTTACTGAGGGTATAATAGCATTTAACAGCTCCTGTTCCTGATTTTGTGATTGTGTGTGAATACTGACTCCGCCACTTTCTAGCTGTGTAAACTTGGCTTCTTAGTCTGTAACAAGGGGATGATAATTGCAACTCCTGACCTCACGTTCAACGTGCAATGACGTATGACATGTGTGTGTCACATGCGTTGTACGGCATGTGGCCAATATCGAGACCCAACTGTACGCCCAGCCCTGGCCCACTATTTTCCAGACCTTCACTCAGTGGGTGATATTATCTCCATTTATATTTGTAGAGTTCAGTCTCAGTGGCAGTAAGGTATTTATGAAGGTTGCATGGCTAAGGAATATTGGAATTCTGCTTTATTTCAAACTGTATCATAGTTTTCACTGTATCCCGGCTGTTCCTCCCCATTCTTGTCTTTGTACTATTTCCTTTACTAAATTCTTAATCAGTCCAGCACTGAGCCTTGGTTTCCCTTCTGCAAAATGAAAGGATTGAACTAGATGAGCTTGTGGGCCTCTCACAACCCTGAGATTCTACGATTCAAGTAATGAATGAAGAGGAAACGGACAACATTAAAAAAGTACAAATACAAAAGCCTTAACTCCACTTTAGTTCATTACTTAAGTAGGATCAGATGATTAAAATAATTAGCTGGAGTATAAAGAAGATAGTTTTTTCCCTTCTACTGTATTCTCATTTTGTCTCTCTCTGTCCCACTTGGAAAGTTCATTTGTACAGGACAAACACTAGGGCCTAATCAGAAATCCTCCTCTTCCATGGCCCCAGTTTTGATTCAGAAAAAGGTTCTGGCACACTGTTATTGATGAAGACAAGCTCAGTATTACAGGAACAAAAGCCCAGTGCCTTGTATCAGCACTCAGCCGGCAGGAGACAGAAGGATAGTGACTATAAAAGGGAATTTGAACACATCCTCTGATTTTTAAAATTAGTGACAAGATCCGTTCTTTTTTCGTTTTCCTGGGGAGATTATTACAGGGGCAACAGCGAATAGTCCTCTGTGACTTCCTTTTTCTTCTTTGTCTTTGGAGATGACAAAGCCAGGTTAGATGATCCCAGTTTTGGTGATAACACCCCAAGCATCCAGGGCCAATCGAATGTCCTCCTCTTCGCTCCGTCAGGCCCAATCAAGAGGTTGACCCTGGCTTGTCAAGGTCATCGAGCTTTATCACAGCTGGTTTGGGCTGGTGCTTGTTGGCCTGGATGTCTGCAGTGGACGTGAGCATGTAGTTGTCTTTGATTTTGTTCATGGCTGACTCCGTCGTCAGGGGAGTTTGATGATAGAATAATGGTTGAGTTTGTTCCTCTCGGAGGGGCTTTTTAGTTTTTTAAAAATTTTATTTATTTATTTATTTTTGTTTAAAAACTTGTTTAATTTATTTTGAAGAGGAACACGGTGATTAAATATCAAGATTTATAAAAAGTCTACATAGTACCTTTGAACCCCATCCATCCATTTTCTATCCACTACAGCAATGAATCTGTTTGATTATTTTCAGGAGTCATATTCGAAATATTTACCAACAGACTGAACAACTGAACAGAACAGACAACGTGCCTGGCTGTTACGGTAAGAACCAGCTGAACATCAGCCCTACGTTAGTTTTGTATTTGTCCTTAGAGATTTTTGTTAAGTAGTATCCATTTTCCCCTCCTTTTTTTAAAAACATCTTTATTGGAGTATAATTGCTTTACAATGGTGTGTTAGTTTCTGCTGTATAACAAAGTGAATCAGTTATACATATACATATGTCCCCATATCTCCTGCCTCTTGCGTCTCCCTCCCTCCCACCCTACCTATCCCACCACCCCTGTCCCACCCCTCTAGGTGGTCACAAAGCACCGAGCTGATCTCCCTGTGCAGCTGCTTCTCACTAGCTATCTATTTTACGTTTGGTAGTGTATATATGTCCATGCCACTCTCTCACTTGGTCCCAGCTTACCTTTCCCCCTCCTTGTATCCTCAAGTCCATTCTCTAGTAGATCTGTGTCTTTATTCCCGTCTTGCCCCTAGGTTCTTCACGACCATTTTTTATTTTTTTTTTAGATTCCATATATATGTGTTAGCATACGGTATTTGTTTTTCTCTTTCTGACTTACTTCATTCTGTATGACAGACTCTAGGTCCATCCACCTCACTACAAATAACTCAATTTTGTTCCCTTTTATGGCTGAGTAATATTCCATTGTATATATGTGCCACATCTTCTTTATCCGTTCATCTGTTGATGGACACTTAGGTTGCTTCCATGACCTGGCTATTGTAAATAGAGCTGCAATGAACATTGTGGTACGTGACTCTTTTTGAATTACGGTTTTCTCGGAGGGGCTTTTTTAAACTTGGGCTTCCTTGAGAGCTGCCGGGTCTTTATCTGATGGAATGTGGGTGACATGTGGGTTTTGTTTTTTTTTTTTGAGTGGACGCCTTTTATCACTGCTTTCTTGGCCTTCGGAGCTTTGCTTTGGGCTCCATTTTGGAGAGCAAGGGCTTTCTTTCGGCACCACCTTGGTGAAAATGTCTTTTTCTTCTTAAAAACAGCTTTTTTTTCCCCCTGAATAAAAATAAATCAAAGAAATGAAAGAAAAATAAATAAATGAAATACTATTTGTGGTAGAAATTTTAGAGAATCTGAAAGTTTAAAAAAATTATAAGCGTATCATCAGTTCTAAACGCTGTTATATTTGTAATATATATGTGTGTATTTGTGTGTGTATATCCTTCCAGGTTTTTTCCTGTAATGAATATGGATGTATATATCCTGCCGAATATACAGACTTGTATCTAGATCTTTCACGTAACTTTGTGTGTGAACATTTCTCCCACGTTATTGTATATTTTTGAAAACAACTTTGATGTCTGCACCCTTCATGCATGGATCTGCTGCTTTGTACTCAATCTTTTGTCCCACATTTAGCTTGTTTGTAGTTTCTTGCCATCGTAGATGATGCTACAATGAACATCACTGTAGGTTTATCTTGGCTTGCATCTCTGATTGTTTGAGCTGGCAGGCGTTTCTCAAGACTCTTGAAGTGTGGGACTGAGTGTCCCTTTTGCTTAAACAAAAATCCTGGCAACTTCCTTGACTCTGTCCTCTCCCTGTTGCTCTGCTCTCAGGAGAAATCCCAAGCTATTTGGCAAGTGTTTGAAGGCTTGCATGATGTGGTCCCTTCCAATGCACCCAGAACTGTCTGCACAGCACTCCCCTATCTAGTTTACGATTCCATCTGTGTAAATTGCCTGTAGCGCTTACCTGCTTCGTGCTGTTTCACACCTCCCTGCCTTTGCTCAGTGTTTCCAAAGCTCCAGGTACTCAAGTATCACCTTCACAGTTTTGCCATAGTCCGGTACCACCTGTACCATTATTTTGTTAATATTTATTTTAAAGATTAACTGTTACTTAAAAAGTAGGTTTTACCTTAACTACTATAGGTGCAAAAGCATGGGTTTAATGTACTGAACACATGTGTATGTGTGTATGCATATTTCTTTTTCTAATGCACAGGAAAATAAATGTATAACTATTGAAATAAAAAAAGAAAGATTCTCCCCACACTACCTAAAATTGTCTCCTCTGGTGGCACATACTCCCTATTTTGGGAAACATTATATTAGATCCATCTTCCTAGTATATTATCCCCTCTTTCCTGATTGACTAACTCCTATTCATCTGTTGTGCCCTAGGTAGGCTGCCCTGACCCCGAGTCTGAGTTGGGACCATTTTCCCCGGGGTCCTTCAGTACCTTGTGCTTTTTTCATCTTAGCACTAAGCACACAAAATTGTAATTGTCTATTTACTTCCAATCTTTACCCCTAAATAAACATTTATTGAAGTCCTTTATGTGCTAAGCTCCACATGAGGATGTAGTGACAGCTAAGGAATGATGACTGCCCTTGAGTAGCTGGTAGTCTGGAGTTGTTTCTGCTTTGGCAGTGGGAACCCAGGAAAAGTCTTCCAATTTGGTCATGGGCTAGATTAAAGACAGAGTCAGGGAAGGCTTCCGTGTGGAGGTAATCCTGAGCTGGATTTTAAGGAGAATTAGGTTAGAAAATATCTATTTAACACAAAGGAAGGCAGTAAAGAAGAAAGGAATAAGTCAGACAAAACTAAGTTTGAATTTCTGCTCTGCCTCTGTTGTATAATCTCGGTTAAGTCATTTTGTTCCCTAAGCTCTAGTTGCCCTGCCAAGAAAATGGAAATAATAACAAGAACCTACTGTACAGCGAAGGGACCTATACTCAATATTCTGTAATAACCTATATGGGAAAAGAGTCTGAAAAAGAATAGATATATATATAACTGAATCACTTTGCTGTACACCTGAAACTTACACAACATTGTAAATCAACTATACTTCCATTAAAAAAATAGATAAAAAATAAATAAATAAAAAGAAAATGGAAATGATAGTATTTACAGCACAAAATTCATCCATTCACTTTATTTATTCATTCATTCAGCAAATGGTAATCGAGCAAGATGATGATATTATACTTAAGAGCTTAGCCAGATGTCAGGTGCCTTAAGTTCTCTCCACTATGAGATCTTCCCTATATTTGGTCCTTGGCTGTCTTTCCTTCTTATGCTGAAGCCTTTCCTTGTGTGATGTCATCTACTCCATCGCATGCTCTGGACCTGCCTATGCTTGGGTGACTCCCTCAATCATAAAATCCCAGGACACTTTTCCTCTGAGCTGCAGAGGCTTGTATCTTATCACCTACCAGCCACCTTCTCCGAGAACGTACCATAGATTCCCCAAGTGATGCCCCTAAGTGAACTCCTTATCCCCTTTACCCACTTCATCTGTTCCTCCTCCCATGCTGTCCCTTCTTTCAGAAAGTAGGGCCACCAATTCTCCAAGAGCCAGAAACTCTTCCTGAAAACCTTCCACGGTTAAGTATTTGCCTCCGTATGAAGAGTAGCTCTCCAATGCTTCTCTCAGATGATGCTAGACAGGGTCCAACTACAATTTCAAGTTGATCTCGTACAGTTCTTGTCAAAATCAATATTTGTTGAATTAAATGAGTATAAACTAATGGTGAGAATTTCATGCACCATAACAGGATTTGAGGGAAGCTATTTTGGGGCATCGAGTGAGTTATTGATCTCTCTGAAATCACATCACTTAGACAGCTATACATTTTATCATTCCTAAGCTGAGAGCTGGGGCTTCATAGACAATGAGATTGGCTCACAATGAATTGACTGATTGACTGATTGATTGATTCTCTCATCAGCCATACATGTTTTGAATACCCACTGGGTGTCAGACACTTTTCTGGGTTCTGGGGAATACTGGAATGAACAGAATATAATTCCAATGATCTCATGATCTGTTTTGGGTGAAGACTTGAAAAAAGTATATGTAATTCAATGTGTACTCTTACGAAGAGCTGTACAAAATGCTCTGTGTGCACAGGGGACAGTGTGAGAGGGTCTGTCTCTGAGAATCAGGGTGAGATTTATGGAGGTGGTAATACTTGCTTGGGGCTTTTATAGGGAGGAAGAGTTTGCCATTTGGAGAAAGAAGTGGTGGTGGAGAAGGAAAAGGAAACCCTCGGCAGGGGGGATAGCATGTGTAGGTGGAAGTGGGGAGAGATGGGGCCTTTGGACACTGGTGAGAATTTCTCTGCAGCCAACACCTATGATGTATGTGAGGGTGAGTATAAGCAATGAGGTCAGGGTGGTCCATTGGGACCAAAGGCTGTATATGCACAGTTGAGGAGCTCTCAGTGTCAGCGTGCATCAGAATCACCTGAACTTCGTCTAAGGAGGCGGATTTCTGGGCCCCCCACAGACCCAAAGAATCACCATCACTGGGATCCTGATGTAGAAATTCTCCAGAGGTGATTCAAATGCAGAGATGCGTTGGAGGTTCAGTCAGCGAGGTCAGCGACCTGTCGATCGTCACACAGAAAGCAGCAGAAGCAGATTTCCCGCTCAGGTCCCTCGGGTGATTATTAGAAACACTGAGGTCCTGGGACTCCACAAACTGTCACAAATCCTGATTTTCCTGGAAAGGCAGTGACTTCCTTGGTCTGCCTCAAGCTAAGGGCTGCAGCTCAGTCGAGAAATTGGCATCCTCAGCAGCCCTGTCGGTTCCTTAGATAATGACAAATTCCTTTTGCTTGCTCCCCATTATTTCACTGTAAATGAGAAAGTAATAAAGTGAAGCTGCATCTGGACTAATTAAATCAGCCGTTTCTAATCCCATCGATCCAGGGAAAGAGGGCTGTGGAGGGCTGGAAGGGAGAGAGGCTTCTGATTCAGAATAACCACATACATTTCTGTGACAATGTGGGCCTCCAGAGTTAGCAAGATGGGGGGGCGGTGGGAGGGAGGGAGATGCAAGAGGGAAGAGATATGGGGACATATGTATATGTATAACTGATTCACTTTGTTATAAAGCAGAAACTAACACACCATTGTAAAGCAATTATACTCCAATAAAGATGTTAAAAAAAAAAAAGTGAGCAAGAAACCTCACGGGATCTGGGATCTGAACTCTGCTGGGGGAGGGGTGATGTACTGTGGCTGTAGGGGAGACCCCACCCCTCCCGGGAAGCTGCTG